CATTCGTCACACTCACTGATGGTACAGCCATCAGGACTAATTTGGGGTTCAGTATCTTGCCCAAGGACTGGAGGAGCTGGGGATCAAACCGCTGAACTTCTGATTAGTGGAAGACCCGCTTTACCTCCGAGCCACAGTCGCCCCCATTAGGCTATAAACAAACTACACCATGGTCACATGATTTAACATCCCTACCATAATGAGGCTGTAAAGTCATGGCTGGCATGATATGATTCTGTAGTCTTAGCATCCTCCTTTTTTAAGACACATAAAAGCTTCAAAATTCACAAGTGGGGTATTTCCTGAAATAATTTATATTGTAGAACAAAACGTCAAAGTCTCTTTAGCTTGTGTTAAACCACAGACTTTATTTCAGGCATTTTACCAAAATCCTGTTTAAAGAAACCCATTGACTTTGAGACAAGGGAACCAGGAGTGCTAAAATGCTAACTCATTTCTGGATTCATTCCTTGGACACTCTATTGGAATATCCTAACAGGATGCAAGTGACGTAGAGCTGCCGTTTTGAGCTGACCTTTTGTTGGATGCTATGTTTCTATTAATTTATGTTGCTCTCTTTGAGAGCTCTGCCATGGACGAGGAACAGTTGATTCCTGAAGTTGAAATGAGGAGTTATCTATAACTCCTCATTTATCTAGATTGTGGATATTGTAATATCATAAGTGTTTTCTTTTCATGGTTTAAAGGCTATGTTAAAGTGATAAGAATGTTCTAGCTCAGGGGTAGGCAACCTGCGGCTCTGGTGCCACATGTGGCTCTTTAGGCCCTCTCCAGTGGCTCCCTGTAGCTTTGACGAAGAAAATTTTATGGAAATGAATAATGTTTTTTTTTTTTACGTTTTAATTTCTATACATCAATGTTGTCGACCTAAAGAAATTCGTACATTCTCCAATTGTAAAAAATGTGAAGCCTCGATACCAAATTAAAAATGTTTCAACATTTCATCAACTAACGTGCGGAATATATCTACTGCCTGGCACCTCTTCCTTGAAATTTTGCCGAATCTCAATAGCAGTGGCTAGTCTTGATTCTTCCAAGCTGCTGAGGTTACGGATGCCAAATCCATAAAAGTAAATGTCTTGGAATAAAATAGAGAATTTAGCAGCACATGGACAGATTAGTTTGCTTTCACTGCCAATTCGGACAAAGTTAAAGAACAAAATAGGAGCCACCTTGTAGTAAAACATGAATATACGCTCATTTAGACTATTAGTAACCTATCAGCTAGATTTAATAGACTGTTTTACCTTCATTAAAAGGCTCAAATATGTTTTGCGGCTCCACAGAGATTTTTTATGATTAGTATTTTTGGTCAAAGGTTGCCAACCCGTTATAATATTACATCCACATTACTAATGATCCCATCCATCCATTATCAACTGCTTATCTGAAGTTGGGTCGAGCAAAGCATTCCAGACGTCCCTCTCCCCAACAACGCTCTCTAGTTTCTCCTGGGAAACCCCAAGGTGTTCCCAGGCAAGATGAGATATGTAATCCCTCCAGCATGTTCTGGGTCTGCCCCGGGGCCTCCTACCAGTGGGACGCACCAAGGAGGCATCCTGATCAGATGCCCGAACCACCTCAATTGAGTCCTTTCGACACGAAGGAGCAGCGGCTCTACTCCGAGCTCCCTCTGAATGTCCAAGGTCCTTACCCTATCTCAAAGTCTGAGCCCAGCCACCGTGTTTACCAATGATCAAAAATCTAAATATTTTGTGAAAGCACCAATAACCAACCCAACAAAACTGGCGCAACATCGACATTGAGATATTTAGTTTAAAATATTGTGGTATTTTATTAACTCCAATTCACCCTGCACTAATCAAGACTGAAAATCATCAGAAATGTGTACCTTAGCAAGACAAAATACGAAAGAAATGGAGTTTATCTCCTGGAAACTGGATCTGGCTTTTATCAGGAACATATCTGACCACTAAATAAAGATGATAAAACAAGGTAACTGATTCTAAATTTTGCTGATAATGACATAATAAATCAATACACCACATACATAGGAGTGTGTGACCATGACACACTGGGTTGTAGAGAAACTGATGTGTCACCTCTGTGCCCACATAAAAGAATATGAGCCAAGCAGAGCTGACTCTTTATTCAACAACTAGGCCATGATGTGACACTGACTTCAGGGTCAGTTTAGTTATGTTAAATGGAGTGAGGATATGCACCGGTGCTACATTCAGCTGTGTGCTACATTTTCCACATCATCACATCAGATACATAAAGCTGGTAGCGCTTCAGTAGTCAGCATGCCAGTGTGTGAGCTACCAAGTCAGCAGATACAGAGCCTCAGCCTGGGGCTGAACACTATACACAAAGCCGAGCTGTTTGATCACAGGCTGAAGGGGGTCATTGTTTCTAATTTCATCCCAGTGCTGTCTAACCCTGAGCAGATACCTATGCTGCTGCATGCACACAGCATTCAGCTTGTGTCAGATCTGTTTTTGTTCTTCTTCTTACTGTAAAGTCTCTGTGAATGCTGGTGTCTGCAGGTCTACTCCACCAGGAGGGGAATCAATATTATAATCAATAAGAGGATACATGGCAGGGTTGCATTACACATAATGTCACAAAACTGTGGCTAGTTCACAGTCCTGTGGCCTGGATGGTCACAGAGACACGAGCACTGATTTATCACAGCAGTAGAGTGGGTAATATAAACAGAGGGGTTACCAGCTATCAGGCTCCACGACAGGGAGCACGATGTTGAGGTCCAAAATTTCAACCTCATCCAAAACAGTTGTGCCTCCAGCGGCGACGCCGTCCTCCCCAGCGACGTCAGGAGACACCGAGCTCGGCTGGAAATAGGCGAACGGCTCCTCCGGTGAACCTCGGGGTCCGGAGGCGCACGGATGCGTCTGTGTCGGACTCGAAATGCCATATTTAGCGGGGAAATGGTCCGTCGGACACGGCGTGCCAACGTGCAGACACGACAACGAGGTCTGGAGATGAGGGCCGATGGAGCAATTGTTTACAGCGTTCGCTCTGGTCCGCAATTGTTCGTTTTGCTTCTCCAATTTTCGGACCAATTCCTGTAGCTTCAACACCTCCAGCTCCGCGTTCGTGATTTTATTGTTGCCATTGACGTCTGCCATCATCTGGGGGTTCAACACCTCTGCTTCCATTTGGTAGAAAGCACATTGAGAGGGGCAGAGAAAGCACGGCCTGCTTGCCTGCAGAGGGTCCTATTCAATTCAGAGAGGGTGTCCAGATTCCCCCGTTTAAAGCTACTACACACACACACACACACACACACACACACACACAAACACACACACACACTGATGCTGCTGCTGCTGCTGCTGGGATGATTGCACAGCCTCCATCTGATTGGTCAACAGCTTGGAGTTCAACTCCCATCACACCACCGCTGAGGAAGTGTTTATTATGGACACATACACAGTGCATAGAAAGAGCATCTGTGTCTCCATGACTTTTACACGTTTTATTTATTTTTAAATGTCTCTTATTACAGGTTGAATCACAGTGGATGTAATCTGTTTGGGGTTTTTTTGCAATACAAAGTACAAACCATAGACTGTACATAAAGATATAAATATACACAGCACACCCCTTTATTAAGAAAGCCAGGGATAACTTTTATAAATACTGAGTCAAAGTCCTACCAACATATCCCTTCCCCAGACACACATGAGGTCTCTAAAATGTTTTATATAGTTGAATTAAAATAAATAAATATTAAAAACAAAATATAAAATAAAATAAAACGAAAATTAGAAATTATTCACATTCAATTGTATTTTCTATTTTTTTTCCCCAAATGAACATCCAAATGCTCTGTCAAAGATGTCTTAATGGAGGAATATTAAATCATTTTTCATTTATTTAAGAAGCAAAAAGAAATTAAATGTTAAATTGAGTCTAAAATACTGTACCCAGCCTAAAAAATACATATCAAAACAATATTCTTTAGGGAAATAAATCTTTTATAAAATGATAAGAATTTGAATAGTTAAACCAACTAGTATTTCTGGTGCTGACTAGCGAGGATAGCAATGTTTAGCCTAATCAATATGTCGACTAATCAGACACATCCTTACACTTAAAAAAATAATCCACTGGTTCAACTTAAGAAAATTAAGTCAACAATTTGCATTCATCTTTTTAAGTAGTTCCAACTCTGGCCTTATTGAGTAGTCTTTCATAATCCGACAACCCAATTAGTTTAGTACAACCAATTGCTTTAACATCGAAAAGCTTAATTATTTATTTATATTAGTATTTTTTATATTTATATAATAAATGGTGTGATTCAGCAGATTCTTAAAGAAAACAGACCTTCCAAACCATGGACTGTATATAAAGATAATAACCCTGACATCTCTACAAAATGAAGCTAAAACATTTTGATCGCCCCCTGGTGGCAGGCTGCAGCACAGGTCATAAACCCCACCCCCTTCATGTTAGCAGATGGCACACAGGCAAAGCTAAAAGCATAGTGCACATGAAAAAAAATTTCCCCAAGTTGCTGTGTGTCATTTTAGGTCGTTTTTATCAAGCCGATGTGTCCGAGTGTTCGTTTTTATAATAAGTTTGGTTTAATTAGTTATTTGATGCTATTAAAAGGGGGCATTGACGTCATGATTGACAGCTGTGTGTGTCAATCGGTGTGCTTGTGATCAATGGTGCTGCCCGTGATTGGTCAGATGCGTGTCTTAGTGGGAACTCAATACTCCAGAGATCACTGGGCAGACTCTGGCTCCAAATGACATCGCCAGTGCAAGAGGGCAGAGGCCATATACGGGAATATTTTGGCTTCATTTTTGTAGCATGGAGGTTATACACCATCTATATTTACGCCCCTGGTTTCAAACCCACTTGCGGGTTTTGGGGTTTGGCGGATACGTCAATCAATATTCTTCATACATATAAATAATTATAGAGTAAACCATGAAATGAACAAAGAACAAGGCAACTTAACACCAAAAGAACTGACACAGTTTTAGAGAAAGATATATTGATTTCCTTTATTGCACACAGAAGAAGCCCCCGGCCCTAAATATACTGCAATATCTCCTTTTATGGTACACACAAGAATCCCAACAGAGGCTGCAGACTTAAAGGAATATTTCACCAACCAAAAAAACATTTGTATATCAATCAGTCATGTTGCATTACCTTGAATTTATGAAGAAAACCATCAAACATATTTATTTATTGATTGGTGCCACGTTTAATAAGAGCAAAACTAAATCAAAACTCACACAACTTGCACAGTATAATCCAAGTCTTATATATCCAGTCATATGCTCAGTGCTTCCCAAACACACACATTATCACTAAATAAACCTTAGTGTTGGAGTCAGCCCTTGAAGAGAGTATAGATAAGTTTCATTTTCAGTGCAGTTTTAAATTGTAAGGTTTTAGCAAACATGCATGTGTTTGTGAATTAGTAAATGAGACTTGGATTATACTGCATGTTGTTAATCACGGTCCCCATTAATTCAATAAATCAATATGTTCGCCTTTTCATCACAAATTCAACACGGCATGACTAATTGATATACAACTGATTATTTTGCAGGTGAGATATTCCTTAAGAGAATATCAGAAATGATATCTTTTTGTGAAAAAGGGGGGTAGATACAGAGAGCAATATCACAATGTCAACAAAACAGTTACAGCTAGCTGTAATAGTGTGCGCACTCAAAAACTTACATTCATAATGTAACTGTCATTTGTCACCCAGCTAAAGCTTTGTCACCTCATAAAAACATAAGAACAGGAGAACCCACATCACCTAAAACATAGTGATAACAGTAAATCCATTTTATCTTGTCACATGTGCTTCATCTCCAGTGAAGGCTCGGGAGGAACTCAGCGTCGCCATTTCTCTGTGGGGGGAAAATTACCTGTTTAATTTAAGGTGTTTTCAACATTTTTAAGCAAAAAAAAACATGAACATGAAGAACCAGATTTTTTTTTGTTACCTCTGATGCCCTCGAAGCAGTTCTCACAGTGCACCATGTGTTTGTAGATCCATAGGCTGTCCCCAGCTTTCATATCACCCAGAGTCCTGTGACACACCTCACACTGCCGAAACAAACACGCACATGAGGAAAGAGATACACATCTTGTTGGCAGTGTTAAATGTAGAGCAGGCTTACGTTTACTCAAGCATTGTACTTAAGTATAATTTTAAGATACTTAAGTGTATAAATTAAATTCCACACATATTGTCTCACTCCACTACATTTATCTGACCGGTGTGCTACTTTACAAATTAAAGGCTCTGAACACCCACACAGGTGTTTTTAATTACTTCAGCTGATTAGACTTCCTGTCAGGTGTAATTTGAGTGGAACTATGCAGGGATTTACCTCAAACTTTTTGACATGTCACAGGTGTGAATATTGAAATTAATGATGGTAGGGTATGGAAACATAAAGTATTTTTTACAGTGGGATGCTTCTAAGCATCTGAATACTTCTTTAACAACTGCTTGTTGCCGACTTTGATGGAAGAAGAGACAAAGCTCACTTTAAAGCAGGTAGCGTGGCAGTTGATCTTCATGTCGTCCAGGACCATCTTGGCGTCACCGGTGAAGGGCTTACGGCAGGAGCTGCACAGGTCTTTATCAAGCAACGTTCTATATGGGACACAAGTTGTTTTACAGTATGTTAAAAGAACATTATCATTCTCTAAGTTAATGCGTGAATCATTCGTGGAAACAAAAATATGGCAAAAACCCGCAATCTTAGCCCATGCTGCATACCATATGTGGACTGAAAGCTGCAGGAAAAAGCCTTTTTCTTCCAGTGCTGCAAGCAGGTTTATATCTTTGTCTTTTAATGACCAACTATTGGATGGATTGGCACAAAATTTGGTACAGGCGTTCATGGTTCCCAGTCGAGGAATTTGGAGTGCAGAACTTTTGTATCCCTGCTCTGTCAGTGAGGGTAATTAGGCTTCACAAACACTGTTGAAGCATGCTTATGACGGATGCCTGCGGGTGAGCTAGCAGCATCTTCCCCTCCCCCAGGGGCGCTCTCTACAAATGTTTCTGTGCAGATATTTTGTCTTTAATCCTTCCTCAGAACATCAAGTTTTGTTTTATTCAAAGATATTTTTCAGGGCTTTTTTTGGCCTTGTTTAGTGGGCAAAAGGTGGGGATGGCATACAGCGGGGACCATGAGTTGAGATCGAGCCCACAGCCGCTGCCTTTTGTTTTAGTCTGGAGCATGCACTCCAAAAACATTTCTTGGACTTGGAGGATCTTCTGGCATAGCTTCCTCCATACTCCGTAAATCAAATCACTTCCTGTGCACCAGTGGAGAAAGTCGCCACAGACACAACACATACAACTCCGGTATACTGTGAAATTGAGAGAGCTTTCCCTGGTGGCAAAAGGCTGTATTTATATGTTAAAGTCCACTCTAGTGCTAACACTTTGGTGATCCCCTGACATTTCCTCAAGCACCCCCACAAGGTTGACATTTGTGAACTGTCTCAACAACTGTTGGGCAGACTGCCTTTAAATTTGTGTGAATCAAACTAACTTTACCTTAGAATGAGCTTGTTTCATCTACATATGGAGCAGGTCCTCTCTTACAGAGTCTGCCACATTTTTACTACAGTAGCCCAGAACGGACAAATCAATCAGTGACTCTAGATGGGGCCATTTGCTTTTTCCCACCAGTCACTGTAGTTCTCCTACACTCTTGGAACATGGGAGAAGTTTCAGGCGCTTGCAATCTGCAACCTCACCATTAGATGCCACTAAATCCTACACACTAGACCTTCAACTTTTCACGCAGCATCACCATCAGGTGTATGGTAAATGGACTTGCAATTGTATCGTACCTTTCTAGTCTCAAAAGTTTTTTTACACTACAAGCTACCGTACAAGGTGCCACTCACACACCAATGGAACAGCCATCGGTAGCATGTTGGGGTTCGGTATCTTGCTCAAGGATGCTTCAACATCCACAGCCTCCTCACCCTGTATTTGTCCCATACTTTAGTTTATGACCAAATGCTGACGTTCAGTTTATAAATGACGTTCCCATCAGCGCAATCTCAGAACCTTTAGCTATCATCTGATGACGACAAAGCCTCTAGGGCAAAGGCCAATATTTGAAACACAGGCCCAGACAACATTTCGACTAATCTATATGAACATATATCTGCATATGAATGCAGATAAACTAGAAAAAAGCTAATGAAAAGCTAAACTGTCATCAGACAATAGCTGATGGGTTCTGAGACTGTATCTTCCCATGGACTGTATACCTACAGGCAACCAGAGCACACTCAAACATGACAGGCCAATACTGCTTGGACTACAAATGGAAACCAGAACTCTTCCAGTGCCAAACTCTTGTGCTTATTAGCAGATGTTAGCATGCTATAATAGATAGCGAGCAGCATTATTCCAGCTTAAGCATGCTACCATGTTGTTGCACTTTTCCTACCTCTCAGAGGACGCATACACACTCTTCGTGGAGGATGAGTAGACTGGATCAGTCATCACATCATCTGACCTGCTGTGAGGGTTACACACTCATCTGTTTCTACAAGACTCTTGCCTTACTCTCATATAACGTTTGCACACCAACTCAACTGTGTTATATAAATATCATGAAATACCTGCTGCTCCTGTACGTCTTTGAGGTGTAGGAGGTGGGACTGGAGATACTGCTGTACTCGTAACTGTACAAAGACAAAATGAAGCACAGATGACATGTGAGATGTAGGTCATTTCAGTCTGACTGTATACTGAGAGAGAATGAGAAGAAACATCATTATGTGAGGGCTTGGTGTGCTCCACCTCTTACCTGGAGTCTGGTCTCGAGAAAGAGTAGCTTTTACGGTCACTGCTGTAGTCGTCACTGTGTGTGCAAACACAGAACAGATTAGGGATAACAGAAAGACTGCAGCCCTCTTTCATCTAGTTGCAGAGACACCCCTGCAAGGAATGTGTGTTTGAGCGTGAGAGATGTTGATAGTAGTCAAATGATCACCTGGGCGTGGAGCTGATGGTGTAGGATTTGGTGCGGGTGGTGGTGGTGGAAAGATCATCAGTGTATGAGTTGTAGCTGCTGTAGTCGTCACTGTGTGTGCAAACACAGAGCAGATTAGGGATAACTGAAAGACTGTAGCCACGTTTTCATCTAGTTGCAGAGACACCCCTGCAAGAGGTGTGTGTTTGAGTGTGAGAGACGTAGTGATAGTCAAATGATTACCTGGGCGTGGAGCTGATGGTGTAGGATTTGGTGTGGGTGGTGGTGGAGGGAAGATCATCAGTGTACGAGCTGTAGCTGTGTGGCAAAGAGGTAGGAATGAGTTGGATATGGGTGCAACTTAACATTGCTTTTATTCATGTATTTATTTGGATCTTTTTAGAATATAACTCAGACATCATGTTATAATTTTGGTATAACAACTATTATATACAGTTCACGTTCTCACCACAAACGAACCACCCCAGAGTTTGTTTGTAACCGGACCAAGACCACCTCTTCAAGAAGGTCTCGGCCTGGTTGTTTTGGTGATTGCTGGGTTCACACCTGCCCAAATGAACCTCACTTAGGGGGCAAATGAACGTGAGTTTGATTGAACTGAACCAAACAGGGCAGGAGTGAAAGCACCCTTAATTACGATTGTGAACACAGTAAATATGAAACCTGCATAAGGGCCTGCGTCCACATATCTTTTTTTTTTTTTTTTGCAGAAAAGCGCTTGCAGGCGCAGGGGAGCACTTCATCTCAGCACCTCATAAAAAATCGCTCCCAGCACACCCAGTATTATTGACAATATATCACCCCTCTAACCGCTGTTGTATGATACATTTGCATCGTGCCTTTGCATTTTATTATCTACTTCAGTATTTGGTTACCTAACCCTTTGAAAGAACATCTTAAGTCTTATATCATCGGCAACTGGACACCTCATCCAAGAGAGGTGAAATATCCATCCATTCACCCATCTTGGATGAGAGGTGAAATGTCTTCAAGAACTCAAGCAAGTCCAGCTGCCTACAATATAGCACTTAAGATTACTAGGACCTGGATGACTGAGCATCTTCATGATTTCTTTCACCATGACCATCAACCGGAGGATGCTTGGCCTCATACTGTATGAATGAGCTTGACACTGCTCAGTCTGACAGCCACAGACCAAGTGCATGTGGGTGCATACATCAGAGAAAACACTACAGTGAATATCATTGCCTCGGCTAAGAGTTGCTGTTTAATAAAGCTAGGTTCAAGTCAACACGTTTACCTCGTGGTTCTGCGGGTGGAGGATGGTGATGACACAGTGGGGCTGTCTCCTCTAAACGGCACAAAAGACAGTATCAGATAAACTGGGATACTGTCCATACAAAGAGCCATTGCACAGTCTCAGTTATTCAAATCCAGCACTCACCCTCTGCTGCTCTCCACCGTGATGATCTCTCTCTTTGTGATGCTGCTGGTGCTGCTGCTGGCGCAATGACAACGTGATTATATCACTGATCGGATAATTAAAGTGTTGTGTGTTTTGTGAAATGCTATTCACTGAGAAATCTCACCTGAGAGGACTCAGAGTAGATGGAGATTTAATGGATTTAGGCAGGAGGTGGTCATACAGGTCGTCCTCAGCCCTGTTAACACAACAGTACTGTAAATATATGTCGATTATGAGTGAGAGCCTTATTCATTATTGATAAAATTATATCTTACGTAGAGGACGTCCTTGTCGTGGTTGTAGTTTTAGTATCTCTGAAAAAAAGAGACCAGTATTTTTATCTAGCTGTTTGGTATTTACTGCCAGTGTCAATGTGTGGCATGTTGTCCTGCAGTAACTCACCCATTAATGCTGCTTCTCACTGTCACAGTTTCAGTGCTGGAGACAGTTGTTTTGCTGTAAAAGAGCAAATCCACCTTATTGCAGTATATGATTATCGATATCCTGGTTATTATTATCAATATAATTCATATTCTCAGACTTGATGGATGAAAATATCACCTGTCTGAGGATGAGAAATCATCCTTGGTAGATGAAGGGATGAGTGTCTTGTAAAGTTGGTCATCCGCACTGCACAGAAACACAGGTGACATCATTATAATTGATGTGTAAATTAAAGTGTATTGAATTGAGTAAGGGTGCTTTTTATTGTTTATGATTTCAACTTTTCTTTTAAAAGAGGAATATCCTGTTATTTGTTCTTCCATAAGTTACATAGTCTCACTTTAAAGTGAAAAAGACATCATTATGATATTGACTAAAAAGTCATTATTATATCTGTCCATTACTATTTTGGCTCTAAAGCACAGAGACACACTGAAGGGAGCACCAGGTGTTGCAAGACCACACTCACACACCAGTCACACTCCTCCAATTAGCCTACAGTACATGTCTCCAGAGGTCATTATGTGAGGGCTCAGTGACATTACAGTATATTGAGAATAACCTTACTGACATCAACGTTTTAAAGGCTGAGGTCAACAGTAGTTTATATTTCCTTTTTTTTGTGAACAAATCCCATGCAACCAAGAACAATATGACATCTCTGCCCGGTCTGAGACAGTCTGCCCCAGCTGATCGGTTCCTACTAATGATGTATTTATTCCAGGCTGTTTTCATGCACTGCTCATACATACAGTATACCTTCAAAATGGTAATGCACCAGAATTCGTATATAACCCATGTGATCATGAGCCATTAATTCATGTATTACCCTTGTAATTGTGAAGGCTGCGATCAAGTGACCAATGCGCTAAGAGGGGTAAAGAAGCAAGTAGTATGAAGAGCAAGAGTCTGCAATAAGGAGGGAGGTTGAGGTGGTGGATGGGTCAAACAAACACAGAACTTTTGCCCAGGAGACAGATGTTTGTGTCCCATGTGAAACCAAGTGAACTTGAGTAACCTCATTTCTCTTTAGAAAATGAAATTCATCTCTGATGACACACGCTCACAGGAATTTTTAGCCCTTGAATCTCCTCAGATCGGTACATCACAGCTTAGTTTGATTCGATTTTAAGGTACGCTCAACCGCGTTTCTTTTCCTAAACCTAACATACACAACTTTACTTTCCTAAACCGCATGTTGGAGAGTAACTAGTTACATGTAACCAGTAGCATGTAATTCAGTTATGAAATAAATGTAATTATAATCGGTTATGGTTACTGATGAAAATATCTGATTGAATTACAGTTACTAATTAAACTGTCAGTGGTTACAAAGGGATTACATTTGAATATTTTATTCCATATGTAGAATCTAACATTCATTCTGTTGCTTTATATCTTTTCACTGTGCAGGAGTGCCTTCTTTGGGCGTAGCCAGTTTCTGGACATTTGTCAGTTTCACTGCCCATTTTGAAACATTTGTAAGAAAATTAAAAATTAAATTAAATTAAATGTGATTAGTTACATTACTTTGATGAGGGACTTAAAACAGTTACTTATTACATTTTTAGCAGGATAACTAGTAATCTGTAGCCTATTACATTTCAAAAGTAGCCCTCCCAACACTGGATAAACCTACATAACAAACAAAAACAGGACTTTCCCCCAGGAGACTGGTGTTTGTGTTCTGTGTGAAACCAAGTGTACTGTAAGTCATTTTAAAGTACGTTGTCATGTTACGTTAAGTATGTACTTTTGTACTGATTAACTTTAATATAATGTCACCAACATAATAAGCAGCCTCCCCTTCATTCTACCCACTATGGTAGGAAACTTACTCAATGTCAGGGCTGCTCTTCACGACCACAGTCTCAGTCTTGGAGACAGTAGATGTACTGTAAAGAAGAAAACATTACAGTATAATTACTGATTGCATGATGTCATGATCAGTGTTACTGAGTTTCTAGGTTTGATGAATGAAAATGTCACCTGTCTGTGTAGTCGCCCTTGATAGACGAGGGGAGGAGTTTGTCGTAAAGCTTGTCCTCGGCACTGCACGGGAACACAGGTTAAATCATAAGTGATGTATAGATTTAAATTGTACTGTAATATAATCATAAAACTTTAATAATATCTTACTCTTTACTGCTGGTAACAGTTGTCTCAGTCACTCTGCTTGTTTTGGTAGGTGAGTAGGTTGAGTATTGCGGCCTATGTGAAAAGATGTGAAGTCAATTACAGATCAGTTTTTAAGTACACGTACTCTAGTACTGTTCTTAAGTACAATTTTAAAGTACTTGTTCATCCAGTATTTCATTGTCTGCTGCTTTATACTTCTATTCCTCTACATTTCAATATGAATTATTGTACTTTTAACTCCATTACATCAATCTGACAGCAACAGTTTCATTTCAGATTTAGATTTTACATTACAACATGGATTATCTTATAAAACACAATAAATTATTGAAGATTAAAGTGGTGTTTCTCAGAATGTAAACTGTCAGAAAAACCCTGAACAAGTAAGATTATTTTATATTTCAGAAGAAAGAAAAAAGAGTAAAAAAAAAGTAATGAGGGACGTCAGGTAAAATGGGACAAATGAGGTTTACATCTTCAGCTCTTAGAATATTAGCAGCCAGTCACCAAACATGTTATTGCATTGTTAGTACAAATTTCCCTTACATGAAACAATCATTTTGATTGGTCCGAGATAACTAGGATGGGCAGGGTAAAGATTACAAAAATCACTGGTCCCAGAATTTGCAAGGTAAACCCTGTGGTGTGTTAATTTAAAAGGTTGCAGGATGTTGCATTTTATCGTTTAATAGTTTGACTTATAATCAAAATAGTGTTACAATATGCTTTACTTTTTTTATAGGAAAGGATTTTGAATCAGTACTTAACGCATTCAGGTAAAATGGGATAAAAAAATTAAGCTAAAATGGGACATTTTTCTCAAGTGAAACCAGCATGTTTTTAAGCTACACAAGGCCATAAATAATCCTGATTTATGTTACTGTGTGCCACCCTGTAATATTAGAGACATTTTTGTTACTTAAAAATATTAAATATGATGCAGTGACTCCATTACTGTTACAGGACACAAGCACATACACACATGCAAGTCCACTGTAGACCACATGGCACCAAGGAAACAGGCAGTACAAAAACGGAAAGCACGACAGAAAAATGGGTTTAGCCATTTAGAAAACAAACAAACACGACTGTCCAATTTTACGTGAGCATATGACAGAGATACACAACAAGTTCTACAAGTAACACTTTAGGCCATGGATGGATTACTAAATGGGCCTAAGGGGCACAGGCCCAGGGGCCCCAAGTGTCAGGAGTCCCCTTGCCTTTCCCTTCAAAAATGTCACTCAAATTAACATGTACCCACCAAGAAGAGACTTAAAACGACTTAAAAGAGGCACAAAACAACTACAAATTGACCAAAAAATATGCAAAATGACCAGAAAAAGACACAAAATGACAAAATAATCTCAAAAAGACACAACACAACTACAAAGAGAGGCAAAACAACAACAACAACAACAACAAAAAGAGGCAAAACCATCACAAAGTCTCTATGTGCTGCTACTGTGTACACTCTAAAAAATGATTAATATCACCAAATTACGTCAGTTTACAACTTATTTTTAGGAAGGTGGTCAAATCAGAAACATATTTAACATTTTTCAGTAGGGTCAGATTAAAATAAATAAACTAGAATATCTAAAATAAAATAATTTGAGAGCAAAATATCGCCACAACTTTCGGATTGGTTCAAGTTAATTAAACCTCTCAAGGTTAATACTGTAATACTAAACTAACTAAGTTTGTCAAATTAGAAAAGACGCAAAGAAACTGCCGCATAATGCCAGGGCTACAACTACTTAAAAAGATATATGCACATTTTTACTTTAATTATTTTAAGTTGAACCAGTGGAATTTTTTCTGAGTGTATGAGAGGTGGAGGAGCCTCGTGCATTTCTGTGCCAAGGCGCCCTTTGTCTCATAATCTGCCCATGCTAAAGGTAGTCTTTGGAATATTCTGTGGCTTTCTTGGTCATCTACCAAAAAGTGTCCCACATTACCTGACGTCACCCAAAGTAAATACGTGAAGCAGATGATACCTATGTCGGTTGTTTTTACATAAGTGTTGAATGCAGGACTTTGTTTCTGTAATGGTGTACTTTGACATTGTTGTACTGGTACTTTTACTGGAAGGATCTGTGTACTTCTGCCACCACTTATTCTTATACTATTGTATTTTTACCCTTTGCTTGAAGACTGGACCCGCTCAGTGAATGTCTTCGTAGGACTTTTACTCACAGAGGATCTGCAAAACAGCTCAGTTGTCATTAAACTGACCAGGGTTGGAAATTAACTTTATTAAATCCAAAATCTACCAGCTACTCAATAGATTAGCATTGTTTTGTTTTCTTTTTGGTTGTTTTCTTTGGCTGGTGAGTGAAGCACATCTAGCGACCACTTGCATAATTAACTAGCATTTGGCTGGCGGCTGGTGCTAATTTCCAACCTTGAAACTGACACAGACTCAATGTGTGATATGATGTTACATATCGATGCGTGTAGCCTAATCTTATTTACCTGCTGGTGGTGATGGTGGTCTCAGTGGTTTTGCCATCCTTGGTGACCGTGGTGGTTGTGGTGCTAAAGGAGGAGTAATATAAACAATTTTAATATATATTTATATTTAAATTTATATTTACAGATTACACATGTCCACACAAATAATATTGAGACAAATCTATCTACATAAGTTTTGCATCAACTGTAACAGACTGGAGTTTTACATACCTGCTGGGAGAATCTGACTTCAGGCTTGAGTATGTGCTGCAACATAAAGGCGGTTTATTTTGATTATTTTATTTTTTAAAGAATAGCTAGATGTTGAACCATTTGTTATGTTATTATGAAAATGTACCTTTTGGTGTAGGATGTCCTGCTGGAGGGTACGGTGCTGTAAGTAGAAGAGAAGCATTGTTAGGTCACGATTCTGGTTATATATACTGAATGTTCCTTTACTGTGATGAAGGATTGAAGTGTAAATAAGCATGCAAATTATAACCATGCTGTATTTCTGCGGAGGAAAAAAAATCAGTGTGTATAAACACTGCACAAACCTGCTCCCCAGGTCATCCTGACTACCGCCAAATCTGCAATATCACAATCAATCAATCTGCACATTCGAGTTTTTCTTTTAACACTTTGCTAATATGATGTTTATTTATAAAAATCAAAATAAATATGAGTATCAGTATCATGAAAAGCTACAAGGATGTTTAATGTGATCATACTTTTTGCTGATCGACTGCACATATGATGTCCTGGTTGAAGTAACCTCATCGCTGCTCCCTAGAACAGTTTTGGCATAGTTTGGGTCTCGGCTGAAGGAGGAAAAAAAGCACAACAGATTAATACACTCATGCTGACAGAGATGACTCAACACTGCAACATGCAAAAGGAATGTACGTACGCATATATGCATTTCCTATAGTGTGTATGTTTGCCAGTGTGGAATGTTTCATTATGTTAACACGACTTACTCAATGTCTTCATCCTCTTCATCTGTTTTTCTGATCCAGCTCCCGTCCTTCAGGAAACCTGCAAACACAAGACAAGGAAATCTTGAGTGACTCCCACTCACATATTCAAAGCTGTTACACATATTTTCAACCCATGGAGTCCACGTGGATTTAATTTCAGATTTGTTGCCTTTTATGCGTCAATTTCTGTCTTTGTTTTGCACATTTTGAAACTCTCCTTACCCTACGTGCATGGTATCCTTTATTTCAGCACAAGCACAGCTACCAATCTGATTTCTTAGTTTGTTAATTTAACAAAGTATAAAGCTGCTAGCAACCCAAAATACAATAAAAATATAGTCAGAATCACTCACAATATTATTATGGAACAGTTCTAGGCTGTAAAAATGTTTCACTGTTTATTCACCTATAAATAGACTGACCCTAGATTAAGGTAAAGACACTAACTATATTTAGAGTCTATTACTTATGAACCAATTCACATGTGGCTGCTGCTACTACAATTAGCAAAATGTTTATTGAAAATAAGAAAAGCTGAATTTAATTTAATTTAACTTAATTTTATTTATCTTACTTTATTTTATTCTATCCCTCTCTTTCTTTATCTATTCTGTATTTATTTTCATTCATTCATCTTCTAACCGCTTCATCCTCTTGAGGGTCGCGGGGGGGCTGGAGCCTATCCCAGCTGACATCGGGCGAGAGGCAGGGTACACCCTGGACAGGTCGCCAGACTATTGCAGGGCTGACACATAGACACCTAGTCCCCAATCTGCATATCTTTGGACTGTGGGAGGAAGCTGGAGTGCCCGTGCCGCCCCTCTATTTATTTTATGTATTTTTATTTATTTATTTTACTTTATGTTTTATTTTATTTTATCCCTCTCTTTCTTTATCTATTTCTGTATTTATTTATTTATTTATTATTTATGTTGGCAACCATTTATGGTTTAATACTGTTTTGCACATGGTACATTTGTCTACAAAATTAGTTTTGTTTTTTATGTTTAATAATTATGTTAATATAATTATGTTACACATATTTTTCCTTTAATTTTAATCCTTTTACCCCCTAATTCTGATTTTAAGTCTCATTTTATTTATGAACCTTTATTGTAAAAAGACCTTTCAGCACAGCCTCAAGAGTATATATTAGTTGTTATTGTGTTTTATTTACTTTATTGTTTTTTTTTAATGTATTTGGATCTATTTAATTTAATGTAATTTAATGTTATTTAATGTAATTTAATTTACTTTAATTTTGTTCTATTTTGCTTTATTTTTTATAGTGTCTATTTCTCCTGTCAGGGTTTAACATTAATGTTTTGTTGTTGTTGTTGTTGTTGTTTTGGTCATTTGCCCAGCCAGCCAATTGGGTCATAAATAGTCCATTTTTACTTGCCCCTGCACAAACTGCTTTATTCATTAGTGGTTATCAAATAACATCAAAGACCAAAGTTTATTGTCATGTTTAATTTATATTTAAATAAATGAATCCCAACAGTGTGGGAAACTGTGTGTTGTAGATACAAAGCAACTCAACACTTTGTTTAATTCTTTTTATAATTTGCCCAGTTGGGAAAGTGAGTTTCTATATTTACTAGCCTGATGCAGCATTTTACTATAAATAATACTTTACGTGCATCATATAACAAATGTAATCTTTAAACACTACATGGAATTAAATTGTTTTTGTTATTCTATCTTAATATTTCTTAATACTTACGTTTTCCGCTCATTTTGTAGCTTCACCTGTGAGTGTGGAAGAACAAGGAGAATTCGTCACATCATGAAACTTCCATCAGCCACTAGGTGGTACTGTTGGTTGAGACTTTACATACACAGCATTACACCTGAGATCACTACACATGTCAGCTCTACTCTAAACTCTCAGGAATCCAAGCTTTCATCTACACTACACTTTTCCTCAGGTTGCTTTTGTGAACAGGTCATACTGGGTTTGTCACGGTACCTGCCTGACATACATCAAACCTCTGCTTCAACCCCACTCACAGCAATTAGGCCCTAAACTGGTTTGTCTTGATCTGTACCCACATGAAGACACACCCACCCTCCATAACACACCTTCTCCAAACACACCGTTGTCAGCAAAAACAGAGGGGCGTACTGGTGACATGCCATTAGCTGCTGATGATTAACACCGTGCCCTTTCGACTACATGTACGCTCCGGCACTAACACTTCCATATCAGGGAGCTTAAGGCAGATATATCTACAGATGTGAGGGAACTTATAACTCCAAATTCAACATTCGTCTGTCTCATGAATGCTAGTAGTCCATTAGTGTTTGGTTTGTCTATATTTTAATGGCTTGACTGAAGTAGGTGAAGGAAACAGATGCCTTGGGGTAAAACAGAACAAGTCATTGAGCTTTCTGACATGTCAAGAATCTTAGGGGAGATAAAGTAGAATTTCTTACTTCCTCACCTTCTTGAGCCTTGTAAAACTAGATTTACAGCTTTCCTAATGAGGATTAAACCACTTTAATCCAAATGTACAGTCCATTGATACACTGATTCTAAAATCACGTCTCATTTGTATATCTACAGGATGCCAAAATATTCTGTTACTATAAAAGACAGTGTAGCAGATCAGATAAGACGTCTTAATGTAGTGAAAATTCTCTAAAGGCAGGTAAGCACTTAAAGAAAATGCAAATCCTTAATGTTTGCTGAGCACCATTACTGTACTAGGTTATAAGGTTCATGTTAAGCAGTAAGAGTTAACAGCAAGCCTGGACATGAAATCCTAGAGCGTTAGTTTGATGCATCATTGTCTAAAATAAATCAGTGTATTAGTAAGACATACTGTAAATGCGTTTCCTCTCAGTAAAGTCACTTAAAATGTAAGTAAAAGTGTATTTAAGTACATTTTTACATTATTAACATTACGTTTTTGAGTCTGTTTTTCCAGGACCGTTCACCCCTTTGTCTTAAAGAGCTCACACTTTAAATCATTACATGTTTTAAGGCACATTTTTAAAATCTGTAAATCAAATAGCCTAGTATTATAGGAAAACATTAAACTGGAAGCTGATAAAGTATTTTTAAAGAGATGGGGTACGTACCTCCACAGATGAGTCTCAGACAGATAAACTCTCACAATAGCTCAGGTCTCACACCTGTCTTTCACTGTGCAGTTTGCAATCACACCCTTGTCATTCCTCCTGCTTTTAATCTTAAGGGAGGAGATTTCAAGGCCACCCAAGGGTGGGGCTTGTGACAACAATCACTCTCTCTCGCTCTTTCACATTTTTCTGTTTCTGTCATCGCCGTGTATGCCTTATTAACTGTCTGTTTGTAGGCTGGAGAAAATGGAATTGGGTGGAGTGCTGAAAGACCTGCAATTCAACTTAGAGTGACAAGGACGCAATGTGGGTGTGTGTGTGTGTGTATGCCGCTTTGACCGGCTATAGCTTAGGAATGAATGGAATATGAGTCAGTGGAGATGAGAAGTAATGTTCTATTTAAACCATTTACCCCTTTTCACTACGGCAGGTGTGTGGGAGAACTATGGTGGCCAACATGAAGACGTGCAAATGTGAATGGTCCTATCCAGAGCCAGTGTTTGGTTTGTCTCTTCAGGGCTACTGTAGGACAACATGGCGGACTGCTGCAAGGATGACGGAAATAACATCGCCCTGGTTCCCTCAAGAAAAAGCCAATGGGATTTTTCCATCGGATTTTGGATTACCGCAGTTATAAGTTCTGTGGCAAACAAACGTTCACAATACTTTTGTTTTGTTCAGCATGATAATCTTCACAACTGAACACCACTTTTCTAATTTTTTTAAAGCTTAAATGCAATCGCCGGAAGTAAAAGCAAACAAACTACACTACAATCGTATGACGTAACACCACAACAAGGCTGTAAAGCCTTGTGATGATGTTCTGTAGTCTCATTTAGCCACTTCTTAGAAACCATCCTTTTTAAGACACATAAAGGCTTCAAAATTGTCAAGTGGGGTATTTATTGATGTATCTTATGTCATAGAAAAAAAAGTGTCTCTTCCTCTCCGAAAAAAAAAAGCATATCCAGTGGTACTGGTAAAAACACTGAATAAAGCAGTTTCACATTAAAAAAATCTGTGTTTTTCCAATGTTGTTTGGCTCACGCGGAGGGGCTGCTAACTATAGTGGTCGACATGAAAATGCAAAAGGCCCTATCTAAAGCCAGTGTTTGGTTTGTTCGTTCTAGGCTACTGTAGGAACATGGTAGTGCAACATGGCGATCTCTGTGGAAGACCCGCCCCTCATGTAGATAACATCAGCTCATTCTAAGGTAACGAAAACACAACAATTCTTATTTTCAGGTGATTATACACTAAAGAAAACATACTTATTACATTATATTTAATATATGCCAATATGTACCCCTAAATCCTTCACACTGGACCTTCAAGTAACAAAACAAATACAATCAAATTTAAATTTAGTTAAAGTTTAAACTGGTACGTGCTAAATGTCCTAAAGCTTGTGTTAACACAGATGTTATTTCAGGCATCTAAAGAAAAATCCAATAAAAGTAATCTTTTGACTTCAAAAAGAGGAATGCAGGAGTGCTTAAATGATAACTTATTTCCAGGTTTTAGTACTCATTCCTGCACCACTCTATATGTGGATATAAACAGCTCATTCTAAGGTAACAAACACACAGAGATTCTTATTTTCAGGTGATTATACACTAATGAAGAAATTGTTATGAATATTATATACCATTTCAGCCAATAGATGGCCCTAAATCCTACACACTGGACCTTTAACATACCTTTTTCATTCAGTAATTTGCTGACAGCGGACTTTGCACTCAGTGTTGAGGAAGCTACTTTGCAAACTACCAATTACTTCACACTGAAAGAATGTGAACTACAGTAAAACCACCCCAGGGAGAAATGTGGTTTGGTTTACTGAAGCTACTTAAAAAAAGTAGTTCAAACTACTACTGCTTACTACTGTTAAAAAATAATTTTAAAAAAAGTGATTAAATTGACTATATACACAATTAACATGACATTATAATAAAATGTAATACAAAAAAGGCACATGGCAGAAAAAAGATTTCAATAAATTCAGTGTATTTCAGAAAAAGTCCCTACTTTTTTCATAAGCCAAAAAAATAAAATAAAATAAGATAAAATAAGATAAAATAAAATAAAATAAAATAAAATAAGATTAAATTAAATTAAATACCCTACTATTCATGTGAAAGTGCAGGAATGTCAGCTTCAGTTTTGTATAAATTGTCCATCAGTCAGACACCTGCCTTTAGAAAACAGGTGGGGTTATTGCACTGAGCAGGATCACCTGGATAGACAGACAACTTCGAAAATAACATGCATCAACGTCTCTGAGCATTTGTTAAGTAGCAATAATCAAACTTGGACCCAATTGTGGTCAGTTTGCTACTAATTTCCTTTCATGGACCAAAATTGGTTACGTCAAGTAGTTAACTGCACAAAAAAATGGCAAAGAAGTAATTTAACTACATAAATCACTGTGCAAATATGAATGTAGTCGATCTATGTAAAAAAAAAAATGTAGGCCTGGATAGACTGCTAATTGAACTACATGTTGTTCACTACTCCCCAACACTGTTTGCACTTTACACATGTATACTAATAAAAGCTAGAAAGGTAAAGTGGTTTCAACTTTGGTTTTCGGTCTCAGGTTATGATATTAATCATCATTCGGTCAGGTCAGATAAATATAGTCCTTACGCCTTCACAGTCTGGTCATAAAGGTAACAAGTAGGACACATACCACACCACTGAGGTCTGAGGAGGTCTCACCACAGTCACTGAAACCTTGTATGAACCTTGTACTGAATGACATTTAATAGCACGTATAACTATATCGATTGGCACCAAGCCGGGTGTAGTGTCATCCAAAGGGGAGTGTCTGAGTTGTTTCATACCAGTTATGTCAGATTTAGATTTCCTTTGATACATAGAAGTCAGAATCATCAGGAGTACACATAAAATGTAGTCATAATCAGACTTGAACTATAAATGTCACATTGTTTGTGACTGCAAGCTTCATCAATGGGAGTGCCGTGTTTGGAATGGTCAAAGGTATGAACAGTGCATAGCACGCACGGGTGTGACAGCATGAAACTGAGGTGAACCCCTCCTAGTCACAATGACAGCATGAGAGGAATGCAGACGACTCTGTAGTGATCAAACTACTAGGTAAAATGTCAACAGGCCGAGGCAAATATTTCGTAGAAAGACACATCTGTACGAACAAGCTCGACTGATTATAAGCCTACGTTTTCAAGGGAAACACAGCCATGTTCACGTCACTTTAACAGAGCTAGAGACATGCTCAGCTAATTTGAGTAGTAACTTTAAAGGAGCAGTGTGTCAGATTTAATGGCATCTAGCTATCAGGATTGCAGATTGCAACCAGGTGAAACATCTCACGCGTCTAAGACTTGAACTCCTGGTTAGAATTCCTTCCAGCTGTAAAAATAATGGACGTAGCTACCATGATGACACCCATTGATTTGTGGACGCCTGTTTTGAAGCCTCGAGTTCAGCAATTTGGCCGTCGCTATCTTGGTTGTCTGAGCCAGAAGTGACCATATTTGGACAAGAGGCTGGCGCTATGGAGGAGCGAGGGGTGGGTCTGACTGAGAAGCTGAGGACACGATCGGCAGACAGCCTGTCACTGAAAGCGGCCACGGCCTTAATTATGCGTAACTTCAGGTCTTAACAAAATTTAAACAGGTGAGTTATATAAAAATTCATCCCCCGACCGCCCGACCAGTTGTCATTATGGGGGAAATTAGGTACTTACTTAGGACTTAAACAGTTGACTGCGTTTTGGAGCCAGCCTCAAGTGGCCATTCAAAGAACTGCAGTTTTTGGCACTTACATGTTAGCTACGTATTTCAGCCCTGGAGGTTGCGGCTTTATTGAACAGGAGGTTTTTACAGAGAGCCATATCATTAGCAGATGTCTCTTCCCCTCCAAAACAAATGGATCAGGTGATTTAAACCGGTAAAAACACTGAATAAAGCAGTTTCACGTACAAATCAATGCTTCTCCGACACTGTTCAGCTCGTCGCAGACAGGCTGCTGATGCCTGCTAATGTATGCCCTCCTCTTTCCTCTGACAACTTAAGATCCAGACGTTCAGGAGGTTTTTACCTGGACCCACATTATCAGCAGAGGTCTCTTCCTCTCCAGAACAAACAGGTGCAGTGATTTAAACCAACAAAAACACTGAATAAAGCAGTCTGACATTAATTTTTTTTTCCAACACTGCTTCTTGTGGAGGGGCCTCTAACCATGGTTATCGATGACAAAATGGGCTGAGCTACTGTAGAAACATGGTGGTGCAACATGACAATCTGCGTAGATAAGGAAGTGCTTCCTATGTAGATAAAAACAACTGATTTTAAGGCAGAGGTGTATAAACTTTTTTGAATGGGTGCCATATCAGATCATGTGTATTCCTGGGAGCAAGCTACTTCTGTTATCATACAGATTATCTAAAAAACAAAAATCACATACAAATGAAACAAACACAACTGTTTCATCTTTACATAAAAAAGTATTCAACTTTCTAGCGCTCCTGAAAACAGCAGCCCTCGCTGTCGACGTAACACTTCTTTGTTGTGACCATGTCTGTGACCCAGCAGGAAAAATGTCTGCTGTTAGGTAACCCTTCCGTTTGCTTGTTTACTGTCTGTTGATGAAAACACTTCAGTTCCACCTGCATAATGCCCACTTGGTGCATGTCTACAAACAGTATGATAGCCCTGCATCCTGAAGTGAACAGAAAAAATGCAAAGTGATCTTACTTCAATAAACCATATTATGTGCCAGGCCACATAGTATATTTTGAACAACAACCCGCAGGCCTTGTAAAATATTCTGCAGGCCACAATTTGCCCCCTTTGGCTTGTTCTAAGATAATAAAAACATGACAATTCATATTTTCAGGTGATTGTACACTAAAGAAAACATGCTTATTACATCATATTCAATTTCTGCCAGTATACCCCCCCTACATCCTACACACTGGACCTTTAAATAACAAAATAACAACAATCAGATCTAGATTTTGCTTCTTTTTTTTTCATTAAATAAGAGCAGGGATGTCCAAAGATTACTTCTGACAATCAACAATAATCTCCTGCGCTCTTTATGGATGCATAAACTCAAGTGGGAATGGCTGACACTGGGTGGTGCTAGAGCTATAA